AAACTTAGATCTAACACACAAAGTGGTTAGAATTTTATGGGCTTTTACTTTTTGTTAAGAGTGTTAGTGTTAATAGTGTAGAAGTCCCACATTGAGTATGTCTCTTTGTATTCTTCAATTGGTTTGCTATATAATAGCACCAATGTTGTGTAGTTTAATACAACAAGGATTACTATCATTTCCTCTTGTATCTATGATATTCAACATGGTATCAGAGCCTAACAAGAGGAATCTTAATCCGTTCAACTTAGTTCTATTTTCCATAATTTCAATATGGTTATAGAGAGATATCACCCTCCTTGAGGGATTCCCGTTGCTATTTCTTTTTCGGGTTTTTCTTAGTATGCTCTGTGACTGCAGCTTAGACTGATCTGTCACATCAGAAAAGAATAATCCTTGGGAAGTTGTTGGGTTGACCACCGTTGTCGTTGACCGACCACCGTTGACCGCGTCGTCCACCGTTGACAGCCGTCTCCGGCGACTTTTCCGATGACTTTCCGACGACTTTTTCGGCGATCCACCACCGTCTCCGACGACTTTTTCGACGACCCACCGCCGTCTCCGGCAACTTTTTCGATTCCGCGAAGCTTTGTTTTTCTTTAATCTTCTTTCTTCCCAAGATGGAGTATTTATACTATTCATCATCCATCTTGAGGGGGAGCACTGTCCGTTTGCTGATGGTCATTCCAGCACAATTGTCTTTGTCGACGATAATTCCGGCACTGTTTAGAAGTTCCTCTTGAGGGGGAGCACTGTCCATGTTGCTGATGGTCATTCCAGCACAATTGTCTTTGCCGATGATAATTCCGGCACTGTTTTGAAGTTCCTCTTGAGGGGGAGCACTGTCCATGTTGCTGATGGTCATTCCAGCACAATTGTCTTTGCCGATGATAATTCCGGCACTGTTTAGAAGTTCCTCTTGAGGGGGAGCACTGTCCATGTGAGCACTGTCCATGTTGCTGATGGTCATTCCAGCACAATTGTCTTTGCCGATGATAATTCCAGCACTGTTTAGAAGTTCCTCTTGAGGGGGAGCACCGTCCATGTTGCTGATGGTCATTCCAGCACAATTGTCTTTGCCGATGATCATTCCGGCATCTTCCATGTTGATGTTCATTTCGACGCCATTTTTAGCACATTGTTGACTTTTGGTTTCTCATTTAGGAGATTTATTTTGATGTTATGTTACTTGTTCTTTCTTGTAATAAAGCTTGTAGCATAGTCAAGGGGAAACCACGGCTGCTCACCAACTGTTAAATGAAATGTCTGAGAGGGATATTGATGCTGATGTCCTGGTCAACTCAGTTGTCTTTGCCGATGATAATTCCGGCACCATCCATGCTCTGATGTCCATTCTAGCACTGTCTCTTTATCAGCTCTTCAGACTGATGGTCATTCCAGTTGATTTGTTGTACTTAGTCATTTTATTTCGTTGATGTAGCATTATTGTTTTTGGTTCCTAATGGGAGTATTATTTATGTATCAAGCTTGTAGCATATTATCTATATGCTACAGCTTGAGGGGGAGTGTTAAGAGTGTTAGTGTTAATAGTGTAGAAGTCCCACATTGAGTGTGTCTCTTTGTATTCTTCAATTGGTTTGCTATATAATAGCACCAATGTTGTGTAGTTTAATACAACAAGGATTACTATCATTTCCTCTTGTATCTATGATATTCAACACTTTTCATATACTTAAAGCTGTATTCTTTTCTTCTTTCCATTCATTCTAAATTCTATGGGGTTCACAATTTTCCCAGCTAATACATAAGGTATTGTTTTGGTTGATTCACAGGAGTTGAAGCAATATCCTGGACTCCGGGTTGAGGTTGGGAGTGCAGCTATTGATTCACTAGAAAGAATGAGGGACGAAAGCAAAAAAGCAACACTACAGCTAGTTGATATGGAGTGTGGCTATCTGACAGTTGATTTCTTTCGGAAGCTTCCTCAAGATGTTGATAAGGGTGGCAATCCCACACATTCAATTTTTGATAGATATAATGATTCATATCTAAGGCGAATCGGTAAGTCTAGCAAAACGTAGTCTAAAACTTTTTGGACTGATATTACAGCTTTGTTCTTAGTTTAATATAAACATGTCCTTCGTCAAAATGTTGGAAATGACCGTTAACTGTCGCTCTGTATAAATAGGAACCACGATATTGTCTTATGTCAATATGGTCTGTGCAAGTCTGCGGCATTCAATTCCCAAGTCCATCGTCTATTGTCAAGTGCGGGAAGCAAAACGAAGCCTACTTGATCACTTCTTCACTGATCTAGGCAAAATGGATGTGAGAATAAATCATCTGCCTTTCCATGTTTTATGATTATGATTTCATTTATTCATTGAATTATTTTAAAAAAATAAAATAAAATAAAATAATTGATCTGTTTTCCATTTGGTTTGATATTTGCCTAAGAAAGTAAGCATTGACTGCCTGCATAAATCCTCTTTGCAGACCAAGCGTTTGTCCTCATTGCTGAATGAGGATCCTGCAATTATGGAACGACGTAGTGCCCTCGCAAAGAGGCTTGAGTTATACCGGAGTGCACAAGCTGAAATAGATGCAGTTGCTTGGTCTAAGTAAATGTGTATGTCCATCACGTTTATACGAGACACAGCAGTATTATTATTTCACCTTCATTCTTTATACTTATTTTTCGTATTACCATTTTGTATCCAGAATTTTTGACATTATCTTAACAAGATGTCTGATTCTGAAAGAAAAAAAATAATATTTTTTTGGGTGAGATAATTGAGTGTCTTTACGCCCTATATATTTTTTCTTTCTATTTTAAGTCCTTCCAATCCCTAACCTGCTAACACTATCTTGCTAACATGGTAGTGTAAAATTTTTATGCAATGTCTAATGTAAGTTTATTTTCGTGATAGCTTCAAAAATTGTTTCAATTTCTACCTGAACTTTAATTATTTTCATACGTTCCTCATGTCTCAGCTAGAACATACATAAACGAAAGGTTTATTTGATAATTTGACGCCACGGATAATTTGACGCAGAGCGAATCATGTTTCTGATTCTCTCTCTCTCTCTTTTGCCTCTAGAAACACTTAAGACGTTTTACCAACTTAGTTGTTGGGACTTATAGATTCTTATCAGTTCAGCCCAAACGATGCCAAACAACTCAAAATAACATTATAAAATGAAATAATAATTATGAGATAAGGAAGAAAAATTAAATTAAAACTTGATTGTAGTTTAATTCATGGCATAGTACATACGGTTATTATGTATACAACATTTATACCAAAATAAGTGTAAGGTTGTTATCAAAAAAAATAAAAAATAAAATAAGTGTAAGGTAGATTGTATTAGGTAAATAAAGAATAATCCCAGTAACATTTCATTTTTCATTTTTATTATCAGGTAAATTTCATAACTTATTCTTTTTAATATACTTTTTATTATTAGGTAAATTTCGTCTGTACTAAATAATTTGGGTTCATTTTCTATTTATTGGGACTCACTGAAAATTATTTGGGAGGATGATGAATGTTCATTCATAGGGGTTGTAGTCAATATGAGATTTGTACATTTGTGGAAGTTTATAAAAAAGACGTCATAAAGGGTAATAGATCACTCTAATGAGGCTTGAGGCGAGTGTGTGCATGGTGACATTTAAGATAGTAGGATTCATAATATGTATGTTAGAGATGTCTACACACTTAGAATAAAAGAATAAAGAAAAAAAAAATATTTTTTTTAAATATATTAAAATACAAAAGAATATAAGCAAAAAAAAAACTTTAACTTAATATAAAAAAAGTAATCAAGAGTCAACTAAAGGCATTTTGGGTCCTCAATAAAAATTATGGACCTCAATTTAATCTCTTAGAAAAAAAAAGTCTACTCGTGATTCCTCAGAATTCAAAAATAGACCTAGATAATCAAAATCACGATCCTCTGAAATTCAAAAAGACCCACATTAATCCCCCAAAAGGAATAATATGGGTCTATTTTGAAATTTAAAAGTATCACGAGTTGACTTTTTTTTTAAGAGATTAAATTAAGTCCTGTAATTTTTGTTGATGACCCAAAATATATATTTTTCCAAAAAATTTGTGTGTGTACTAGCACACACTTGCACCCAAACATGTCCGTGACTGTCTTAGAGACTTATCACTTTATTTATAGATGGCCTATACTTGAAAATATAAGAGTTTGAGTAAAAGTCAAAATGTTGGGAGATTAAATAATAGATAATATCTCTTATTATTAAAATGGTCACTTATCTTAATATGTTTCTTGTAGAAGTTGTGCCACTTATTGTGTAGTCCAAAACATCACCTATTAATAATAAATATGTTGAAAATATTGTATTTCTAACTTTTCTTTTAAAAAAAAGTGAAATATTCATTCCCTTTCAAAATAATCGCCATTTAAGATTTTATTCAAAGATTAAAAAAATATTTAAGTATTTTAAATTCCAAGAAAATAAAGGTTTATTTGTCTATATTACTTCTCATTTCACTTAGCAAAAATATTAAAATACAATGATAACTTAGAAAAAAAATACTAAATGTGTTCTTGATTTTTTAAAATGATAAATAATTTAATTTAAAACAAACTAAAACATTTGAAAAGATAATTATTGTGAAACAGAATGAAGTAAGAATTCGTCCATCTTTTACTGCGAATTATATTATAATTCTGCCTCAAGGAAATTGAAGTGTAAAATATGCAAGCATTTTTTTGGAATTAAAAGTTAGGTAAGAGGCCCAATTTCTTGTGTCGAGTCGCGCTCACGTATCTACCTTTAAAAGTTATAAGTTGCCAATGATTTGACATGAGCACTTTGAGTAATGTATATTTATAAGTCCACTTGGAATCAAACGCAAATCACTTTATTCACGAAAGCCTTGAAGCCAATTGTTGCAGTGGCGTGTTTGCAAAACAAGGCTTTCATTATCAGCAGGCTATACGACGTCGTTGGTATTTCAAAAAGGAACACTACGTAATAAAATTGCGATGGTGCGTGCGATGCGAATATGCTTCATCTCATCTCTCATTACGGTTGCAATACGAGTACCTCCGCTGAAGGCTGAAGCCACCACCACCCTCTCCCATTCCAACGTAAGAATCCCCTTTTCTTTTTACATTTTCATCTCATCTCGTTTCTCATTCTTCATTCCTTCTATTCTTTATTTCTTACTTCTCTTTTGTTTATCTCGTCCTTATTCAAATGCGATCGATGTGAATCTCAAATTTCAGATATTATTTGTCCATTCATTCACTTTTCGAATCTCCAATGTTAGATGCGCCTTTTATTCTCAGAATTTTTATATCGACGATTTGCTTTTTCGTCTCCAACATTAAACTCTTCCTGTTCCTCATTATCATTCGCGTCGTCTTTCCTCTTTGATAAAACTATGATCGGTTGACTATTAGATATGAAGGTGCAATTTGAGTTTTTAGAAAGAAAAGTCTCTGAAGAAGACGGAAAATGTGTTCCAGAATCTGATGCTTTGAAAATAAAATAAAATAATAAAAAAAAAAACACCTTTTTTTTTTTTTCCTTTTCGGGATCCTGGTTCTTGTTTATGAGGTTTTAAAACCAGATCCATCTTAGTGGACTTCCAGGTAGGTGATAAAAGACAAAATTGACGTGGGCATTGATGATTTCTTGGTGACATGTCTAGATATGATGCATGCCACAAGTGAGGTTTGAGTATCAAAAGAGCTTTTTTTTTGTGTGTGTTTTTATGTACTTGTTCTTATTATGGCCAGATCTCTTTGAGTTTTTGCCTTGTTGGGTTTTCTCGCTGCCATGTGAATCTGGGAGAATGGAGAGGGAACTTGGACGGGATGTTTATTTGGTTTATGAATTTTGCTTGTAGTCAATAAGTATAAATGTCAAAATTTTAACTTTTGAGGTTATTGTTGATGTTTTTAATATACTTGATTGACTTCACACACTTCATATTGTCAATTATGCTATGGATTTGACTGGATAGTATGCAGCAGCCAGCACGGCAATGAATGATTTTAAGTTGCTGCCATGTGTGTTAATTACAGAAATCATCCGAAGCAATTTTTCCCCCCATTAGAAACAGTATCATTTTTAGGTGGAGATTTCATAATCTATCTATGTACAGACACACTGATCCATTTTTGTTTTTTTACTTCTTTGACAATTTCTGGTTATTCAGAAGGAAGACACGTGAGGTGCATATGGTGTCATGGCCTCTGAGAGAGAAAGTTTTGACCTTACAGGACCTTTGCATCTACCTTATGTCTTATGGTAAGATCTATCGAACAAATCTTCCACTTTAAATTTTATCTGTTTAATTTGTGTACTCAGATAATAAGTTTCTTCACTAATCACTATGTCTTGTGTACTTTATATCATATTGTTTCTTCTTCTGCATGCCTGATGTCTGACATGAGTATGAGTTGCCTTGATTGTACATAGCAATATATCTTCAGGGTAATATGGTGAAATATAATGTGCATAACCATGTGTTCACATCAAGATATCAGGAAGTATGTAGTATGTCTTTCAAGACCCTTTTTTCATATCTAGGTATTTTACTAAATATTCCGTTTATCAAAAACCTATTACCTATAGGATGTTCTTTTTGTATAGAGATTCAATATTGGAAATTCTAGTTGACTTGGTTAAGATCATTTTGATTCCTAAAAGCTTTTATCTGAGGATTTGCTATTCTTTCCCCCTATAAGAAGTGTTTGGCTAATGTAAAATAATTACCATCTAATTCAGGGATAACGCGTATCATCGAATGTCAGTTGCTGCTAGTTTGGTCCAAGGTGTTTACATTCTAGAAAGGGACCGGCAAGAAAATCGTGAAGGTCCCGACGCTCTTGCACCGCCTTGGTGGACATTCTTCCACTTTCAGCTGCTGCGCCCACTTGTAGATGATGTTGATTCTTCCATCTTTGGTGCAATCTATGAGTTTAAGCCTCCAGCATCTCAGTGTAACGACACTTTATATAGAAGTCCACGTTATGTCATTGCCTTTCGAGGTACTTTAACCAAATCACACTCAGTTTCACGTGATATTGAGTTAGATATCCACTTAATCAGACAAGGGCTTCATCAAACTTCTCGCTCTGACATAGCTGTTCAAGCTGTTCGAAACATGGTAGCAACTGTAGGTGATTCAAATGTTTGGTTGGCCGGACACTCCCTAGGATCAGCAATGGCAATGCTTACTGGGAAAGCCATGGCCAAGAGTGGGATATTTATTGAATCTTTTCTTTTCAACCCACCATTCGTATCTGCTCCAATTGAGAGAATTAAGGATGAGAAATTGAAACATGGGATTCGATTTGCTGGCAGCGTGATAACAGCTGGACTCACCATTGCTATGAAAGCCAAGCAGCAGAAGGATTTATCTTTGGATCCATTTGCTGCTTTGTCTGCCTGGGTCCCATGTTTATTTGTGAATCCATCCGATCATATCTGCTCAGAGTATATTGGATACTTTGAACACAGAAGAAAAATGGAGGAAATTGGAGCAGGAGTCATTGAAAGGTTAGCAACTCAAAACTCACTCAGTGGCCTACTGATGGGTGCATTTGGGAAGGAATCCGAAGCCCTGCACCTCATTCCTTCAGCCTCTCTGACAGTTAATGTTACACCTTCACCTGATTTCAAAGAAGCTCATGGAATTCATCAGTGGTGGAAACCTGACTTGCGCTTGGAACACAAGCTCCACAATTACAAATAGGTCCTGTATTTATTTATTGTAATATATTGGGGGATGTATATTCGGCGATGTTGGGTCTAGTTTTCCATGTGATGACTTACAAAATTCATTTTGAATGAGCAATGTAAATTATGAGTGTTTGGATTGTCATTTTATTCCATAAATTGATGGAATGGAGAAGCGTTCCCCTGCATAAATACTTGTTTCCCGGAAAAAATGATACACTGTGTTGTTATTGTATAAAATAAAATAAAAAATGTAGTGTTTAAATTAGTTTATTCTAAGTTTATTAATGCTTACAATGTCGTATAAAGAGTTTTTAGCTGGAAGATATGTTTAAGAACACGCAGTATACTTGCCGGGAAGCCTTTTCCGAGAGGGGCATGCGGCAGCATTCTCAATCAGCTGACTTCGGTTTCAGGCTTTCAGCCTTTCTTGGTAAGAGTTCACTATTGTCCACTAGTGATCTTCAAAGTTCAAAGTAATATGGGAAGTTGTTTATTCGCATTTTAAGATAAATGAATCAACTGAGTCAACTAGTAAAAATGGGAAAATAAGGAAACTTGGGAGTTCTTAGAGAAATGAGAAAATTCAAATCAAATACATAAGTGTTTTTAAATACGCCACCGCTTTGGTGATCAGAAGTAATTGTTTGAATTCTAAGATCAAAATATATATTTTTATGTTCCGAACAGAATTATCTCCTGTGAAAAATACACGTGGTTTATAAAAAATAATAATTAATTGAACTCATGAAAAAAAGTCTTAATCACTTTCGAATTAAATTTTGTCAAGAATATAAAAGAACTCATAAAATTTGATCTTATGATGAAGTATTTAACACATCTAGGGTCTCTAAAGATGAAAATAAATAAATAAATGAAAAATAAATAATGACAATAAAAATATGAAACTATTTGATTGCTGGTTTCTAACACATTCAAATAAATTTACAATAATTATAGGAGAAAGATGTTGATTTAATTAATCTGGGATAAAAATAATGTTCTATGGATGATAAATAAAAAATTAGAAATAAAAGAAATGAAGAAAGTGAGATTTAAGGAGTTCCACGTTAGAGGAAGAGAAAAATAGAAGGTTTTATATGCCCTGACTCACGAAGGTAAAAAGTGTCGGACTTCCTTCTTAATGCTAAACCCAAAGCCTATGAAGGTTTAAGAAATCCTAAAACCCTAATCCTTTTCCTTCTCTTATAAATACATTAGTTATAGGATGAAGGTAGGTTAAGAGAAAAAGAAAAGAAAAAGATTGGCTTGTGAGATTTGAGGGTTTTGAGTGAAAAGCTCAAAACTTTGATTTTGAGAGCACCTCTAGGGAGAAGTTTGAATATTATACCTTCTTAAGGAAGTTTGAGAGAAAATCACCATTGTAGGTGAGGTTTGAGTGTACCACCATTACTTTTATAGTGGAAGTTTGATACTGGACTAGTGTCCCGTGAGTTTTTACTTCTTCACATTGGAGAAGATTTTTTCACGTTAAAATTTGCTTGTGTTCTCTCTATCTCTCCTCTGCGTTTTTCATTTATCCACTGCGTTGGCTAACCTGTTGATACAGACCGATCTTTGATTGAAGAGCTGAATTCCTAGCTCGACGACGTTTGACATTCGCAAAGGCTTCTTAGCCGAGTTGAGGGAACCGAGTTTCCAACAGTGATATCAAAGCTCGGGTTCGATGGGTTCTGAGAGAGACGAGATAGAGACCAGTGAAATCTCACATGATGGAGACATGTTCAAACTGATCGCGGACAACTTCACTTATTAGAGACCGCTGATGGAAGATCATCTTTACTGCAAAGATTTATACGAGCTCATCATCCTTAAAGAGAAGCCTGAAGGCAAAACTGATAAGGAGTGAGAGATCCTGGGTCGGAAGACGGTAGTCATGATCAGGAAATATATTGACAAAAGTCTCTTTAAGCACGTGTCCAAGTTTACGAATGCGTAGTTATGGACGAAGCTGGAGTCTATGATTCAGAAAAAGACTCCCAGGAACAAAGCACACCTGGTTCGCCGACTTGTGAAACTCAAATACAAGGACAACATGAGCATGATTGAACACCTAAACACCTACAAAGCTATTGTGAATCAGCTGTTTAAAGTCGAGATGAAAATTGATGACGAGATGCAAGCTTTGTTGCTGTTGAGCTCGTTGCCAGAAAGATGAGATAATCTGGTGGTGACATTAAGCAACTCGACTCTTGATGGAAAATTGAAGATGAACGCCATGACTGACAACCTCCTGAATGAAGAAGCCAGAAGAAGATAACGAGGTATTTCCAACACATTTGAGGCAAACATGACCGAGAACAAAGGAAGGTCTGACACAACTAGTAAAAATGGGAAAATGATTAAACTTGGGAGTTCTTAGAGAAATGAGAAAATTCAAATCAAAATAAAATGTCATGGTCAATACACAAGTGGTTTTAAATAATAATGTATCCAATGGGTGCCGCCACCGCCACCGCTTCAGTGATTAAAAGTAATTGTTTGAATTCTAAGATTAAAATATATATTTTTTCGTCCTGAATAAGATTATCTCCCGTGGAGGATACATATGATTTATAACAAAATAATAATAATTGAACTCATGAAAAAAGTCTTAATCACTTTCGAATTAAATTGTTAAGAATATAAAAGAACTCATAATGATAATAAATAAATAAAATAATAAAATAGATAATTATAAAATCATAACTATTAATTCACTATTATATGATATGATTGTAATCTTTAGAATTGCGAATAAAGCTGTTCTATGCTCCCCGACTCTCCGCTCGCATAACATGATACGACAAACGGTGTCAGAGGCAGATATTGAGAAAAGTGTCTCGTAGAAATAGAATCCTTGGTAGCACATCGAAGGATCTGTGCCCCCAACGTGGCAACACCCAAATTGGTTCACTCCATCTTCTAAGTGAGTCTCATTTTATTTTTTTATTTTTTTGTGTTGCATCCAATAACAGGAGAAATATATTGCACTTTTTTTTATGTATATAAGATTTTAACATTAGTTTGAGAATATTAAATGATGGTAATTTAATTGGTATTAAAATATTGAGTAGGTAGGGATGAGAATATATTTTCAATTCTTCTAACTATCATTTTTAAAAGAAATTTAAAGTTTTAATCTTGAGACTCATCCTGAATCGAATTAGCAATGTTTTAAAACCTCGCTCCGCCCCCCGAGTTGACCTGGGTCAACCCTGACCCCTTCCCTCTGGGGGTTGGGGTCACAAGTTGAACCATATATCCACATCGACCCCTCCGACCCCCAAAACCCGACCGAGTTTCAGTGACTCTCGGGTCATAGGGGTCAAAGGGGGTCATTGCATGTTTGTTTTTTTTTTAAAAAAAACTCTATGAAACAACTTCGTTTTATTAAAAAAAAATAAAACAAAAATGCTTGCAAACCTAAATCTAATCGTTCTCTTCTCTCCCAACGACCTATATGTCTTCAATCTTCACACCTCGCAAACATGAATCTTCTAGAAGAGGTAAGAATTTTATCTATTCAAATGAAATCCTTACGGTCGTCGATGGAAAACAAAAACTTATTCTTACTTCCTTTAAATTTTCCTTTGTCAGGGACCTTCTCCAAAAAGGCAGATTTGGGTCAGCGTATTGATCCTATTAGAATATGAGTTTTGTACTTTGGTATCTTGATACTTTAATTAGGTTGTATAATATTGACTTGTGGTTGTAATTAGTGAATTATGTTAAGTATATTGAATCTTTGATGATTGGTGGTTTGTTTTTATTAATATTTTTTATATATGATATATATATTTATTTTTTATAATATATAAAACCGGGTCAGCATAGTGACCCCGTGATCCCCCGGTTGAACCCGTGACTCCATGACCCCTGACCTCGACCGAGTCGATGGCCGGGCCAAATTTTTAAACACCACGAATTATACACAAAGCAATGAATCGATTAGAACTTCTTAAAAAATAAAATTAGCTTGATAGCAAGCACAAACAAATAAGCTATGTTTTCGCAAGTCTTAATGATAGAAAAGATTGAAGGAAAGAGGAATGCCTATCAATAATATCTTTGATACTTTTTATATTGTTGGTTGAAATTTATTAGAGTATACAGTAGATTAGCTATATTCTCCACATTGTAAATCAGCTAATTCATCACAGTGCACTTAGTTTAGTTACTGCACTTAGCTTTCAGTTACTTTGTTAGTTTAAGTTGTTAGTGACTGTTCTACTATTCACGGATTCAGTTGCACCAAAGGCAACTGATTATCCTCTCAATCACTGATCTATAAATAGATCTATTGTGCAACTTTTGTAATCAATGAAATACGTTCCAATATGAGAGTCTCTCTTCTCCTAGCTTCTCTGTTCTCTTCCTTGAGCTCTTAGCCTTTCTGGTTTCGTTTATGGTATCAGAGCTCCAACCTTGGGGCCCTAATCCATTTCTCTTGCTTCACCATGGCTTCCGCTACATCACAAAATCCTGATATAGCTTCCTCATCTCCTTCTCTGTCTCCTACTACCTCCAATGACTCAAGATCTCCTATATTTTTCAACACTCAATTGTCAGTAAAGTTGACGAACAAAAACTTTCTGTTATGGAAACAAATTGTTGAACCACCGATAATCGCTCATCAACTAGAACGTTTTCTGATTAATCCTCATATTCTGTTGCGTTTCTTGTCAAATGAAGATCGTGCAGCTGAGCAAGTTAATCCAGCATTTGTTGAATGGGAGAAAACTGATAAAATGCTTCTCACTTGGCTTCAATCTACTCTCTCAGAGGATATAATCAACAAGATCCTTGGAGTGCGTCAGTCACATCAAGCTTGGGACAAAATCCACAAATATTTTGATTCAGTTACCAAAGCTAAAGCAAATCAAGTTAGCTCCGAACTCAAGAACATCAAGAAAGGTGACAGAAGCATTGAAGAATTCCTGGCTCGTGTAAAGGCACTTGGTGACACCTTGATTGCAATAGGTGAGCCAATCACTGATAAAGAGCTTGTTCGAACAGTTCTTGAAGGATTACCTGAAGAATACGGTCCTTTCATCACATATTTCAGAGGCAGAGATTCAGGCAATTTTGATGATCTTGAATCTCAAATTCTGGCTCAAGAGGCCA